AATGTGTTCTCCAGTTTTGAACAGGAAGTAGGGTTATCCAGAGTATCAAAAATCAGATACTAATCGATACCAAACCTAGTACCAAAACTCGATATTCATTTGAGCAGGTATCGATACTAAAGAAGTCACATTTACAGGACAGAAATGAACCTTTCCTGAATTGCTTTAGAATGATCTTGAGCTGTATCAGATCAGATATAAGAGCGCATAGACTAGTATATGGCCATGGACCACTATGGACCACTGAGGGAGTACACAGATCTAAAACAGATATAAGATTTCTATTGTCTAAATATTATCACTGTGGTATCAGAATCTGTATCGAGTATTGAGTCTATTACTTAGTATCAAATTTGAGTTAGAAATTTTAGCATCATATGTCAATTATAACCAACAAAACAGTTATGAAACCGTTACGAAACTGTCACTGGGCAAGAAAAGATATGAAAAACAATGACGTCTTTCTTATGTCGTTTTAGTTTTCATAAAATGGTTTAACAGATTTTAAAATACACCTGTCATTAAGCTTTAGGTAAAGTGATCAGGGTTAGATTTAGCTGCAGTATTCAGACCTTTGAGTATACATTGATTGACAGTTTAGCGGTAATCCTCGTAACCTTATTGTGTTTTCTGCAGTGCTGTGGCAAACAGCTTGATTTGAGCACGGCCACTCTCGAGGGCATTGCTGTCCTGAACATTCCCAGTATGCACGGTGGCTCCAACCTCTGGGGGGAGTCCAGGAAACCAGAGGGGGGCTCGAACCAGGGGCCAACCCCAGAAGTCATCATGGACCCAGAGCTCCTCAAAACTGTTTCTCAAGGTCAGACACAAAAGGTCTTAAGTATTGACACTTTGCAACTGATGTAATTTTGAGGGATGACATACAGCTACATAACACATTTGGATCCATTTTGTCTTATTTTCTTTTAGTTTAAAGGAAATAAATGCTGTTTTTGGTCTCGATATTTAAAGTTATAATATTGGAACTGTTTTGAAATCAAGACATTTTGGCTCTCATCCAACATCTTCATTTAAAAAAGAGTGTGGATGTCTGAAACCTTCTCTACTAGGGCTGTAGCAATAACCGAAATATCGTGATATCGTACCGTCAAAGTTGTCACAATAATATCTATCGTAGGCCATCACAATATATCGAATTACAAGTCTCTTTGGTTAAATTAAGAGTTATGGTGCAGCAATAAACAGAGGGAACTACATAGACCAGGACCCTTTACTCCATTTCAGTGCAGACTACAAAAAGAAATAACAGTTCTAAACACTTTTAAGTCTTAGTTCTTTGCATTAAGTCTTGTCAAGGCACTTTAAGAGGAAAAAGTAGCATATTAACAGTTTTGTTTGCTCGCCTCCACAAAATATTGCAATAAATATCGTATTGTGAGATGTGTATCGTGAAAATATCGTACTGAGAGATTTCGATATTGTTATATCCCATAGTGAGCCTCCCCATCATATGGTGAGTTTCCCACGATATTGCAATAAATATCGTACCGTGAGGTTCATACCATAACGACATTGTATTGTGATACTTGGATATTGTTACACCCCTATTCTCTACACTTCTGGAACACTCCACCCTATTTCTGTATTACTATCATGTCTTTTATTTATTTATCTAGATATTTTCAGATAAAATCAGCATCACTGTGTAAGGGAATATTATCATATAACATTGTCATAAGATGATATTGTCCTGTTTTTTTCAGACATGAGCGACAGGCGCCTGGAGGTGGTGGGTCTGGGAGGGGCCATAGAGATGGGACAGATCTACACTGGACTGAAGTCTGCAGGACAAAGACTGGCTCAGACTTCTCAGATCACCATCAGGTCGAGTAACACAAGAATAACTGAAATGGGTTTCTGTCTACATACAATTAATTATTGTCTACATACATTATTGTCTACATACATTTATTAAAGAGGGAGTATTATGCAAAATTTAGCTTTCTGCCATGTTATAGTGTTGATATCTCATCAGAAACATGCCTGAAGAGGTTTTAAATTTCATCCATGTGTGTTTGAGTTATTTTGCAATCTCACCCAGGCCTATTTTAAAATCAAAACATGCTACATAGGTCTCCGGGAAGAATAGCTGATAGCTCATGGAGGTCAATTAAATGCAATCAAATCAATCAATAAAAATATAACATTTTCAAAACAATAAAAGATAGTATGGCGATCTAAATATGTTATGTGTTAGCAGTTAATACCCCACAGAAGTGTAATACCCCCTCTTTAATATTCTATACCACACAAAGCTATGCTGTTTAATCTCATTCTGAATACTTTGCTTATATCTTCCTTCAGGACAATCAAAGCACTGCCAATGCAAATTGATGGAGAACCCTGGATGCAACCTCCATGTACTGTGAGTGATGATAATACTACAACTACCCATATCATTTGACTTTTGTTGTAATTATTGAACCTTTTACCATTCACTGTCCCTCCTCTGTACCAAATATTAATTGTCCTTTCTCTGTACCAAATATTCACTGTCCTTCCTCTGTACCAAAAATTCACTGTCCTTCCTCTGTACCAAATATTCACTGTCTTTCCTCTGTACCAAATATTAATTGTCCTTTCTCTGTACCAAATATTCATTGTCCTTCCTCTGTACCAAAAATTCACTGTCCTTCCTCTGTACCAAATATTCATTGTCCCTCCTCTGTACCAAATATTCACATAATTTTGTAATAAGTGAACATTTTGTTTGTATAGAAGGTGTAACATTTGTTTTTTATGATATTTTAGATCTATATAACTCACAAGAACCAGGCAAACATGCTGATGGCTGCACCGACCAAACCTTCTGGCTTCTTCCACCTCAAATAAAAGAAACTCAAAATAGCACTCTTCTTTGGCTGCAATAAAAATGTAAATGTTTGCTAAAGTTAACTTAACCGATCTGTGTTACTATGACGATATATATTATAATTAAGAGCAACTGTGACTTAAAGCTGGTGTACCTGATTTTCAAGTGGAGAAAGTAGTAGGTAGTTTTAAAAGGCCTTACACTCTTTTCTAATCTATGTTATAATGTTATTTCTGCAACAAAAACAGACCCAGAGTTGTGTTTTGTTTCATTCACACATGTTGAACATATAAACTCTGCATAATTAGGCTGCGTCCTTCTCTCAAACTGAAAACACTCCACCTTGTGATGTCATGTGGTAATACAGGAAAAGCTACACTATGTTTTTAAAACTCCTTCATTAGAATAATTTGGATGATTTCAGCCCTGCAGTTGCCATTCTCTACTGAACTAAAGGTAAAAGGAGAACTTGAAAACAAATGTGTGAATGAAACAAAACCCAACTCCAGGTATGTTTTTGATGAGGTAACAACATTATAACATGGCTTAAATCTCACAAGAGTCAATTTTGTGTGATCTAGGACCTTTAACTGATACTCTAATTCTGTAACACCTGTCAATGATGCCCATCTGAACTCGGGGAGATTCACCGGTGACCAGACTCACATCTTCATGAAGTATTGGAGAGGTGAGTATTCTGGATCCCAGGCAAGCTTTTACTGTGTCATAAAAACAGTACCAAGTCGAGTACCCCAGCTTTAAGACCAAAAATGTGATTTTCACAATGAATATTCCTACAATTTTGGTGCCAACATTATAGCAGTAAAAATGTAAAGAGTAACATCTAAAAAAAATTTAGTTAAGCTGGTAGCTAATGGAGGTTATTTAAATGCAATCAATTAAAGTTTTATAGTAAGTGGATGTCTTAAGTTTGTCTCAGCTTCGCTTTAATCTCTTATGTTTGTGCTTTGGTGGCTTTCAGTAGATATTAGGGTTGTCAAAAGTGTTGAAAATCAGACTAATCAATACTAAAATTATTACGAAAATCAGATTGTATTGTCTAAAGAAAGATTATTTTTAATGATTGTGTTATCAGAATCTGTATTGAGTATTGAATCTATTCCTTAGTATTGAAATTGAGTTTGAAATGTTAGTATTGTGACAACTCTAGTAGATATTTGGTTTAAATGTCCCTAAAGGCCTAAACTATAATCATAAATGGAAAGTGTTTTGTGTTCTCCTCAAGAATATAGCTGTAGCTTTATCTCGTCCCTCGTTTAAAGCTAGTCCCACCTTGTGATGTCATTACTTTCTGCACCGAAACTGCCTCCCAACATTAAAGCACTTAGCAGCTATTGTTTTTAGCTTTATTTTAACTTGCTTCACTCCTCAGAACACATCCAGCGACTGGCCCCTTGCTCCCTCTGTTGGCAAGTGCTTTCCCTAGACACACATTATTTTAAAGATGCATTATGTAGCATTTCTGGTAGTGGATATTTTAGTTTTGCCTAGATAAAATGTTACACGGTATGGCATTAAACTGTTCTGTTTCTATGGAGCCAAGCAGGTCATGCTACAGGTCATGTCTGTGGAGAGGCGAGCCCACTTGCAATTTGAATACATGTTTTTCAAAGCATTTTCAAGGAATAAAACACCTGCAGTTTAATCAACTCCAGACAGATAAGTTAAATGCCATACTGTGGAATATTCCAGTCAATGCAATAACATATCCATGGAGACCAGAAGATGAATTACACAGTGCATCTTTAATAATGTGAAACACTCGGCTAACGTGGCCAAAAGTAGTATATCAGTACTGTTAGTATTAGTACTAGTATAATTACATTTAGGGCCTCCATCACTATGTACCTCTTTGTAACTTCTGTCTTTTTTATGTATATTTCCTCTAAATGTTTTTTTTTTAAACTGTTACAAAGTCTTGAATTTTCGGATGGTGCCAGTCTGCAAAATGCACATTGTATAAGCTAGTAAGATTTATAACAATGGAAACAATAGTGGAAAGTGAATTAGTTGTGGATCAGCTGAGATTGAGAAAAGTGTTTTGTTAGTTCACTGTTCTGCTGTATGTCTGTGATGTGGTCTGATTATCCAATAAAATCAAGTTTGTCATGTTTTAAAGAAGACATACTGTGCTTGTGTCTGCTACATAGTTAGAATCTACAACATCCATCGATTATTCCGTTATAATCTGCACAATTTAAATCACAATATTGAACTGAAACGACTGAAGAAAAGACGTCTGTGTTAGAAAACTGAGGTGCCCAGTGGGAGCTGACGTCACCATAAACGTCAAAAACAAAGAGTGAGCAACTACGAAGTTCCTAGGAAACACTGATGAATCCTACATCGTCACAGTGGGCGTGTGCTGGGGGCGGGAAATACGGGTGTTGATCTGCCAGATGTCTTGAAAATAAATGGTTAAAGATCACTCAAACATGCACGTACACATCTTCGAGAGCTTTAGTGAAAAGGGGAAACAACTATAACATGGTAAAAAGCTCAGAAAAGTAAATTTTGCAGAATAGGTCTGCTTTAAGGTTATTATCTGGAAGTTTATTAGATTTTTTTCTTTCACCAGTAGATCAGACACCAGAAACATAGATAGCAGCCATATTTATTTTGATAGGGCTGACCATGTGTGTCTCTGATTGGTTAATACGCCTGTCAATCACACCCATCTGAAAACAGATTCAGCAGTGACCAGACTCACATCTTCTTAAAGTATTAAAGGAGTGTGTATTCTAGATCCAAGGCAAACACAATGATCCAACTTCCTCTGCAGTCTTAAAAGTCCCCTCTTCAATAACAGAAGTGGTAACCCTGGGATTGCCCTTGTGTGATTCAGTCATGTGGGCGTCCATCCTTCTGTATTTAAAAACAAGGCGTCAGCGTAGCATTAGCTCAGCGCAGTTTCCGAGTAGTTTGTGTCCATAGGGAGGTGCTCATGGCTGTCCTGTTTTGCCTGGCCCTTCTCACTCGTCACACTCTTAAAAATAAACCTGTTTCACGCCCAGAGCTCCCCCTGGGGCATGTTAGGAGAGCCGTGTTGTGGTGATTCTGTTTTGGAGAACGGACATTAAAGCGTTTTAGTTGGAGCTTAAATTGTTGTTGACAAACGGGTGTCTACAACTGTAGAGCGTGAAGAGGAAATGGCCTAACGATGACAGAGGACACAGCCAATTAGCATCACTTAGTACAATGTAATGACGGCATCATTAAAGGTGTACTATGTCACTTTCCTGGTAAAGGGTTATCTCCCATCTGTGTCCATGGAGACCAGGTCCTCAGTAATAACCCATGTTTTTCTGTGTATTTTATGTAGCGATTAAAACACCTGTAACTGAATAAATGCAAGATGACTTTAATGCCATACTGGAACAGTCTAGGTGAAGAAATTATATCTCCATAGTGACAAGCAGATAGCACACCCGCCACTAGAGAAGTTAGGACCTACATGTGTTTGTTAAACATTCTATTGAGGCTACACTTGACCTGTGTTTGTTTCTTTTTCTCAGTGTGGAGTGTTTAGTCCAGATAACAATGATTAGATCAGTCAAGAGCGCATTATGTAACTTTTCTGGGGAAGGTCCCCCACCTCTTTTTCTCTTTGGCAATGTTACTACTTTGGCTGTAATGTTCCATAGTCAGGCATTAAACTTAAAACAAGCAGGTGATGCCCTAAGATAAGGTCAGATCTGTGGAGAGGTGAGCCTGCACCAGGTAAGAATACACATTTATCTAGGGAATTATAAGAAATAAAAACAAAAAGTTACACATTACCTCAGTGGTTTCACACATACATTTGAACCAGTCAGAAGCTGAAGGATTCTCCTGTCCATGTCCTCATGTCCCTGAAGGAAATGTGAAAAACTCCACCCTAACAGGTCAGGATGACGGAGGAGAGCTGAAAAAAACCCCAAACAAACAAACAAACAAAAAACCCAACTCCTGGTTAGTGGGTGTATATGAAGGCTAATTGCATTATATTTAACATTTTAGTGCAGTTTTAAAACAAAATAAGAATAAAAAGCTACTAGAGCCAAACAGTAAAATAAAGTATCAGAGGATGAAAATGACAACAGTTGATCCAGAAATTAATTAGTTTTCTTGAAACTTAATGTATCTTTTTCGACAGGGACCAGATGTACATTCCATTCCACTGTTTTATGAAAAAAATGAAAATGAAAACTTGTAAAACGTTTTCAAAGTAACAAGTCATGATCTCCATCAGCCTTGAAAACGTTACAACAACAGTGGCATGAGCATACTTTGTAAATACTGAGTTAGAGAGAAATATCATTTAATCAGTTAATGGTTAAATAATATCCACTGAAAAAGGCCTATTATGATCAACTGCAGTTTTATTCAATTTTTACTCTTTTATTATAGTAGTAGGCTATAGTACCTTGAATCTCCACATCTCTGGTTATAAACATTTTGAAGGAAATATGCACACGCTATCCAAAAAGATGCAAAAACAAGATAATTTTTTTAAAGTCAAACTTTCTCTTGTGCCTTTATTTCATGTCCAAGCATATTTATATTGCTTATTTCTTAGTCTCAAAGCCTCTGAACCAAAATATCCAAAATAGTCATATTTTAAGCCAGTAAAAGTCTCACGTGAGCAACGCATCTCTTTTTGGGTAAATTTAGACGCACAAGACGCTCCCACGACCCTTGCGTCATGGAATCCCGACCGTGCGTCATACGGAAGAAAACGTGTAACACTTCCTTTTGATTGGACACACATCCGGAACGTTTCACCGCCTTTTTACCATACTTAGCATCGAAGTCCCGCCTCTTGAGCTGAGACAAAAATAAAACCAGATTGATGGAGGTTCGAGCCTGGGTCTGACCCGCTGTTGTGCGTCTGTGTCCGGTTAGAGCGTGTGCTACTGCCGCCTGCGCCCTTGGAGACACGGACCACACGGTGTTTAGTGGATTAAAACACTTAGAATTTCTGGATATTTTCATGAAACAGGTAAGTTACTCTTTGCATTAGGCCTGACAGGTTAGGGGGAGTCAATTATTTGTGCTATTTGGTCATATATTGTTAAATAATGTGCGTATTTTTTACATTTTATTTATTAAGTTGCTGTTACTTGAGTTAATTAATAGTTTAAGCTGTTTGGATTTGTCTCTAATAATTTTTTTGTTATACTAAAAATTATATGCAGATATAGGCCATAACTTGGGTACCAACCAAATCTTTGCAATGGTCAAATTTTAACTTGAACATCTCTATAACCTTAGGAAACTTGGCCAACTTAAATGCATATAGTCTATATTACAATAACCATGTAACCATTCAGTAAGTTAGTTTAAGGCTTGTGAGTTAAAAAAGGGGGTGTGGACATGTTGTACAGTATCGAACATGTGTACCCATATCAAGTCAAAGATTAAGTTAGTTAGAGATTTCCAGTGCTTCAGTACTGTTAACTTGTGCTTTAAAAAAACATAAAAACTTTATTTACATATAGACAATGTAAAATAATAGCAAATTAAACCTATATTTTTGTTTCAATGTTTGCTAAGTGCATATTGTCTGAACTTTCTTTGCAAATTTGACAACGTAATAACTTTGAGACAATAATTTGTAACACTGCAGATTTTTATTGCTTAATTATTGATCATAAAGTTTGGTGGAATGATGTAACGATGAACCTATGATGTATTTCTACTATGGTGGACAATATTTTAAGTTTCAGACTAAAAAATCTTATAAAGTATAGAGCTGAATCTTTTTAATTTAGCAATTTTCAATATATGGCTTAGATGCGTATTTCCAGAAATGTACTGTGACTTAAAGAAAGAAAAAATAAATTAATAAAATTGAACTGATCAAGGCTTTTTGCTGAAATGTGATCTTAAAATAAAAAATGAAAAAGTTGCAATGCATTGTTTTCATTTTTGACACAACTTTGAATTTCCCAAACATAACAAATGTCTAGATATACTTTTACTGTCCATATTTCAGTATATGGACTCTCGTCTTCGTACCAGCTGTATAGTCAGTTTTGCCCATCAGACCCACTTGCCCTGGCACAGTGCCCATTTGAAACAGAATCCTGCGCTCCACTCCCTCCTCCTGTGGGTGGTGAAGGGGTTGCCCATGCAGATCTCAGAGGGCTTTGGGACATTAACAGTGTGTAATACAATCTCTCCAGTATCTGACCACTGTCTCAGACCACATTTTCCAAACAGTGACCACTCCAATAGCTCAAAATAGGGAGCATAGTGACCAGCATTTTGACAAACAACCAGGGAGATATTAAAAGTTTTAGGTCAAGGTTTATTATGTACTAGTACATTGCATTTTACTAATAGTTGAAGTGGTAGAAATTTTATGTAGCTGTAGTACAGGGACCACAATGTATTGTAATGTACAACAGAAACAGTAGTAATAGTAGTAGTAGTAGTGGTATCATAGTGGTAGCGGTAGTAGTAATACTGGTAGCAGCAGTAGCAGCAGCAGCAGTAGCTGTAGTAGTAGTAGTAGAAGGAGTGGGGGTAGTGGTGGTGATAGTAACAGCAGCAGCAGCAGAAGCAAATAGAAGCAGTAGTAGTAGTAGAAGAGAAGGGGTGGTGGAGGGAGTAGTGGTACCAGTAGCAGCAGCAGAAGCAACAGAAGCAGCAGCAGCAGCAGTAGTAGTAGTAGTAGTAGTAGTAGAAGTGGTGGTAGTATTGGTAGCAGTAGCAACAGTAGCAGTAGTCACAGTAGTGGTGGTGATTGTAGTGATGGTGGTAGTAGTGGCAGTATTAGTAATAATAGTCGTAATAGTAGCAGCAGTAGCTGTAGTAGTAGTAGTGGTGGTAGTAGTGGTGGTAGTAGCAGTAGCAGTAACAGAAGCAGCAGCAGAAGCAAACAGAAGCAGTAGTAGAAGTAGTAGAGAAGTGGTGGTGGTGGTGGTAGTATTGATAGCAGTAGCAACAGCTGCAGTAGTAACACTAGTGGTGGTGATAGTAGTGGTTGTATTAGTAGTTGTAGTAGTAATAGTAGTGGTAGCAGCAGCAGTAGCACTAGTATTAGTATTAGTAGTAGTAGTAGTAGTATCTGACAGGAAAGTTTTGTGAGATGCAAAAGAAGTGAAATGAAGACTGAGGCCAACTTTTACTTTTGTTACTACAGGATATTTCTCTCCTGGTTTGTATTCACCATAGTTAAATGTGTCAGGCGCAGCTACAGGTTCTGAGTCGAGAGAAACTAGCTCAGGGGGAGTTCGTTTAGTTCAGACATAGATTGCTAATCTATAGATTATATATAGATTGGGAGTTGCTAATCCATTACTAGTGTAATTGTCATCTGCTCTTTTAAGTAGATTTACTGCATTAAAAACTTGGACACAGTATAGCTCACATATTACAATATAATAAAGACTACAAAAATAAAGGGTTATAAGATTTCAAAATAGTTAAAGTAGCAAAAATTTTGCAAAACTGTAGCTGATATAATAATATAAGGTTATTGAAGTAATCTCTAGTTGTAGTAGTGTTTTATGTTGCACCATTCCTAGAAACAGGTTCCTAATTTCACTGATAATGGCAATAAAACTTTGATTCTCATTCTGATAAGGGTCAGTTGTTGTACAGTTGTGAAGTATGAATGTAGTCCTGTATTGTTCACTGTGGGAGCTTGAAATATGTCCTTAAATATGTTTTCCATCTTTTCCAGCAGAGATGCCCTGTGTCCAAGCCCAGTACACCTCCCTCCCCCACGACCTCACCTCCCCCTCCTCCTCTTTCTCCTCTTTCTCCTCTCTCTCCTCACCCTCTCCCCCCGCTGAGCTCCTCAACTCAGAGCTGAGCTCCAGACTCCTCATGGACCTCCAGAAGGAAGACCCCACAGCGGACTCTTCTCTCCCCAGCATCAACACGCTGGTCGGGAGCGCTTACGTCGGCGAATTTGATACTTATTCCTGCAAAATTACTACATCTCCTGCTATACCTTGTACCTCATTCAGCCCTGGTCCTCAAACCTCGAATCAGCCTTTTAAACTAGATGATCTCCAGGTTTACGGATGCTACCCAGGATCCTTTGCGCTCCTGGATGAGACCCTGTCATCATGCGGATCTGATTATTACGGAAGTGCCATCTACGCTACAGGATCGTCTCCAAATTTCCAAAACCAAACAACACCTGTTTGGGATTCCCCGTTCACTTCTTACCAGTCCACGGACAAAACGCAGCAGTTGTCATTTTGTGCGTTTAGCCCCAGTTTAGACCAGCCAGGTGAACAGTATTTCCTGCCCCCTCCACCTTTGCAGCAGCACGTGTTGTCAATGCACGGGCCCCCAGTGTCCCGGGACCCTTTGATAGACAGTCCCAGGCCTGGTGGAGGAGGGGCCCGGGATCTCTCCGAAGAGTCAGAGTCACGGGGGGAGTGAGGGGAGGTGTGCCGTGTGTGGAGATAATGCTTCATGCCAGCATTACGGAGTCCGCACATGTGAGGGATGCAAAGGATTTTTTAAGGTAAATAAAAATGTGTGTGTGCACTATATCATATTTTTGCTTACCTTAAAATGTTTAAAGGTAAAATATTAGGCAAAATGGACTCTTGTGAGCTTCAAGCCATGTTCGAATTTTGTTACCTCCTCAAAAACATACCTGGAGTCGTGTTTCATACAGATATTTAAGTAACCCTTCATTATTAGTCTGTCTTCATCTCAAAAGCTAATGTCATATGGTGGTAGTTTTAATATTAACAGCTCCTTTTACTTTTTCTTCCTTTTTTATATATACAGTCTATGGTAGAGATTGGTACTTCCAGGCCTGAAATGATCCAAATGATTCTAGTGAAGATGTATGGAGTTTAAAAACACAGAGGAGGATTTCCTGTATTACCACATGATGTTACAGGCTGGAACAGTGGGGAGTTTTTTCTGTTAGAGAAGATTTCTGTGTTAAACATGTGTGAATGAAGCAAAACACAACTCCAGATATGTTTGTGGTGAGAAAGTAACATTAGAACATAGATCGGGAAATAGTGTAATTTGGGCTCTTTTAAAGATGCACTGTGCAACTTTTCTGCTTGTCTCCATGGAGATTATATGTAGCTTTGCCTGAGATGTTATAGTTACACAACATACCATTAAATGCATATTTCATTACTGCTGTTTTCATAGGTCAAAAATATATAGTGAGGTTGCTTCTCCATAGCTTGATTCATCAGCCGGTTTCACTTTGTTTCACTTCGTAGAAACTGTCTGACCTCGCAGTGTTAGAATTCATTCGCTTGATGTTAGGCAGGTACTTTTTATCATTTAACTTATCGCTGCTATTTGGTCGTGACATATGTAGTGCGCCGCTAACGGGGCTAACTGGTGTATTAAGCTTTTGCCAAATCCTGTAGGAAGAAGGTCAATAACGTCTTTCCCCTTGATAAAATTCGGCTTTAAATCCTCGATCTTGGGAACTGCTGACAACACAGAATATATGGCTCCTTGCTAATTGGCTGGTGCCCGTACTTGCATACTTGCACTTCTGGGGTTTTTGCAAACTGTCTATTGTATTTTGATTCCTGACCGAGTTGCTGGAGAGACATGAATTGAGTGGAGGCACTAGGTAGCGCCAGCCTTGCTAGCCTCTCCACAGATCTGACCTGTAACTTGTACTGGTGGTGTCACTTGCTTGTCTCCATGGAGACAGGAAAGTTTTATGCCAAACTATGGAATATTCTAGGCAGAGCGATACAATATAAGCAAGTGGCACAGAGGATATGATAATGTCTTAAATTTACTGCTTGTACATTTCAACATACACAGTAGAAAGAGGCAGAGGAAGGATAGTGAATATGGGGGTGACAGATGTTAGAGGTTAGAACCAGAAGGCAAGAGGCCTAGAGAAAAACTAAAGAGATTTATGGATGTAGGACTAAACTAGAACTAAAACTAAATCCGGACTAAACTGGGATCAAACCAGGACCAAACATTCTTAGCCTTTTATGAAAACAAGAAAGACTTGAGAGATGCCAATATTTCTTTCCTCATTTTGCAGCATGTTTCATTCAGGCCCGTCTAATACATGTATAATATATATAAATATATAAATACTTCCTCTATTTCCACAGCGAACAGTACAGAAAAACGCTAAGTACGTGTGTTTGGCCAACAAGGACTGCCCCGTGGATAAGAGGAGGAGAAACCGCTGCCAATTCTGCCGATTCCAGAAATGTCTAGCAGTGGGCATGGTCAAAGAAGGTAACGTGTGTCCAGTTTACAGTCCCCTAAAGCTTTCAATGAGGAGTATTAGCGATGGAGAGGAGGCCTTTGCAATGACAAGTCTGTGAAATTGAAGCTCTGAGCATCTGATATATACTGTACTGTAACTTTAGCAAGAACCAGCTGCAGAAACAAGAAAACTAATAGGATGGATTCACATCTCAACATTCTGAACTGCTCATAATTTAGCCTTGGGCTGGAGAACAAGTCAGAATTTCCTGGTAGAGTTTGACTTTTTTTAATGTGACCATATTACACTATTGTTGGTACCTCATCACAAACGTACTTGGAGTTTTTTTGTTTTGTTTTTTTGTTTCATTCACACATGTTTCACACAAACTGTCCATATTTAGGCAAACGTCTCCACTGTGTTTTTAAACTCCATATGCCTTTACAAGAATCATTTGGATCAGCTCTGAAAATGCTCTACTCAACAAAATGTAACTGTTAACTTAAAAACTACTGCTTCATATCATCACAAGGTGGAACAGAGCATTCAGAGCTCTGGAGATGTAGACTGCCTAACAATGCAGGGTTACTCAAATGTGTGAATGAAGCAAATCACAACTCCAGGTATGTTTTTGATGAGGTACAACAAAGCTTAAAGCTCATAAGAGTTTTGCATAATATTGGCATAAAGCATTTTTTTGTGTGTGAACTAACACAGAAGTTACTGTCAGGGTCACCGCTTTTTATCTTTAATTATGCACATTGTTACGAGGAATCTGGGGAAAACAACTGCCTGACACTATCCCAGACACTTGATTTTCTGTCATAGTGCATGATGTGACAAATAAGGCTTGTAGTTGGCGGAGATTGGAGAACTATAATCAAACAACCACATGAGGGTATCCTACACAGTTACTTGCAATAGTTATGGTGCAATATCTGAGTGTCAGAAAGGACTAAGTGGGCGGGGCTAACAGTTCAAACTAAAACTTATGGCACAGGCCTTTTAGTGGTCAAAATGCAGATGTTTTGACCTGGTTTATGGTAGAATTGTTTGTTATTTCTGGGCCCATCCACATGAAACATCTCTGAGATTTAAAGAGATAAATTATTATGGCAAATTTGTGAACCCAATACATCAAAATCAAATAATCAACCAATCAATCAATGTTTCATACCTAACATAGAACGCAACGTTAACCTTACATTGACAATTAAAATCAGAACCACCCACCAGACCCTCAGTCACCTAACAAAAACTGCAAGTTACATGTGTGCATTTTTATTTTGCATTTATGTCATTCAAAACAATGAATCAATGAAAATGTATAGAGTCACACAGTCCACTGCCCTCCATTTGTAATTATAACATAAAGTTCTAGATCTAGAACTTTGTGAACATAACCAACCACAGGTCATTTTAATAGGAATATCTCTTACAGTAAATAGGCCTTGGTAAATCTTGGTAAATCTTGGTAATAAATCTGTAAGCCAAAACATATATTTTCATACTGTTATTTTTGCTTTAAATATTAGCATATTTTATTTAGTCATATTTAGCCAATGCACTGTTAAGCACTGGTTGAATAATATTGGGGATTCATAAATATCATGATAAGTTTGTTCACTAAACTCCTCTCTGTGTCTCAGTGGTGCGCACAGACAGTCTAAAGGGCCGGCGTGGACGACTACCCTCCAAACCCAAAAGCACAGAGCCCTCGCCCACCGCTCCCACCGTCAACCTCATCTCTGCTCTGGTGCAGGCCCATGTCCAGTCCAACCCCAGTGCCACCAAACTCGACTACTCCAAGGTACACATCGGCACTAACTCTATTGATACTTTGCAGTGACATCACCCTGGCGGCATGCTACGTGTATCTGTATTTGAAGACTGTTGAGCAGTTACCATGATGACACAACGCATGCTTTAGTAAACACTGGCAAAAACTTTTTCCGATAGTCTGAAAGCTCAAGAAAAAATGCAAAATGTATTTAATTTTTAGGAGTCTGTGATCAATATGGGCGCTCATGTTCCTGTTTTTTAGATTATTTTCAACAAAAATGTGAGAGTGACTCACTGAAAAAACGTTGTCTAATGATGAGCTTGTGACTAATTTTGCAGTTTAATTTCATTGAAGGGCACAAATCATCTCACCTATTGTAGTTCTATCTAAATCAGATTTCTGGTCAGATTGGATTAAAATAAAAAGTTTTCAACAGAGTAGTGCTTTCAGTTAGCTACACACCACCAGCTGCAAAGTGCCAATAGAAATATTAAAATGCATCTGACAAGTGCTCATGTTTTTCTATTTATTACTTTGTTGGTGGGATAGTACCTGTGGAACATAATTATCATAGTTTTACATCTGTTAAGTGGCAGTTTGTGTAAAAAAAGTTGAGAAGTAAATACGGGAAGTAGCCGTTAGTTATAAACCAATTTCCTCTGTCATCAACATCGATTTCCTCTGTCATCAACACCGATAATTCCATCCAAAATGTAGAGACAATTTATGAGCAAGGCATTTTTCTCACTGTTCAGACATTCATTTAATAAATAGTTCTTCTGCCCATGTCAACCAGGAAGTAAAAGTTTACTAAATAAAAAAAATAGAAGAAACTAGGTAAGATTATTAAATTAGATTATTAAAAACAAATCTGTCATATGCACATTAATATATTCACAATTGATACTTTGCAGTGACATCACACAGGTAGCCTATATCTATGGTGGAATACTAAATTTATTTAAACAACACATTGTCAGGATCTTATGATCAATGCAACTGTTAATGGTCCTGTTTAGGTGTTTGATTTTCAGAGTAACTAACTGAAAAACTGTTGGCTAATGCTAGTGTGACTGTAATTTTATGTATGAGAGACTTGTTTAACAGCACAAATCAACTCTCCTGTTGTAGTTTCAGCTAAATCAATTCTTTATGTTCAGATTGTGTTAGAGCTTCAGACAGAGGAGTTTCTCAAGTTAGCTTCACAAACCCAGGGAATGTTGATGACATCAGCTGCAAAATATCAATATTGACTGTGAATAGGCCTAAATATCCATTGGGATATTAATACATTTCTATCTCTCTAAACTCATCACATTCCCTGATCTCATATGTATCTCTCTTCAGTACCAGGAAACTGTGGACAAGCCCTCGGGGAAGGAGGATGCAGAAGACATTCAGCAGTTTTATGACCTTCTGACCGGAGCTCTGGAGGTGATCAAAGCCTGGGCTGAAAATGTCCCTGGATTCAGTGAGTTCTGCTCCGAAGACCGACAGCTGCTCCTGGAGTCTGCATTCGTCGAGCTCTTCATCCTCAGACTGGCTTACAGGTTAGTGCACTGTGAACTCTGTGGACTTGTATGATCTTATTCTTCTATATATGTATATTATTTTTGCTGTATTATTATTATGGTTTATTGCTGCTACCAAAAATGAGTTTCCTTCAGGATCAGTAAAGTATTTATCTATCATTCTATAAAGTAACATTTGTGAAAAAGTTCTGGACTTCTCTTACATTTGAGGTCTTAGTCTACAAAGCCTTATATATTTGGTCTTTAATTGTGTCCAGGTCTGAGCCAGAGCAGCAAAAACTGGTGTTCTGCAGTGGTATGGTGCTACACAGGCTGCAGTGTGTGAGGAGCTTTGGCGACTGGATCGACTCCATTTTAGATTTCTCTCAGAGTCTGCATCGAATGAACCTGGATGTGTCCATGTTCTCCTGCCTCTGCGCCCTTGTCATCATCACAGGTGAGACATGGTGTTACACATGTATAGTCATTATAAATAAAGCTGAGCTTTGATACTAAGATCCCTCTGTGCACAGACCGCCACGGCCTGAAGGAGCCCAAGCGTGTGGAGGACTTCCAGAGCCAGCTCCTGTCCTGTCTGAGGGACCATGTGAGTGGGTCACAGCCCAACTACCTGTCCCGTCTGCTGGGCAAACTGCCCGAACTCCGCACCCTCTGCACCCAGGGCCTGCAGAGGATCTTCTACCTCAGACTGGAGGACATGGTGCCTCCTCCACCCATCGTCGACAAGATCTTCATGGATACTCTGCCTTTCTGAAACCACAAACATGGACACCCAGTGGTGAAACGCACTTAATGTGAAGATCTGTTTCTGACTCCTGACCATCCAAGAACCTCTCCATCCTAATCAACAAGCAGCACTGTTTTAACATTTCCCCATTTCGGATTCAGAAACACTAAAGCAAAGCCATCTACTAAACAGCAGTCTCAACAGTAAAGCCTTACAGACACATGAGCAAAGAAGTCTTCATCTTGGACCAAAGTTTATGAATAAAACCAAAGTTGCACATTTCCCAGTAATCACCACTTCTCTGTAACTGGAGTAAACCTTAACTCTAACCTGGAGTTGTTCTTCAAGTGCCTTAACCCTGTGGTTCTCAACCTTTTTCTCCCAGTGTCCCCTATTTTATCCATGGATACATTAGCGACCACCTCAAAACATTATTTTTTCTGGTTAATTAAGATATTATAGAACAGTAATGGTTATATGGCTTCATAGAGAGGCAATTAATATGGCATGCCTTAAAATTCTCATAATCTAGCTGCTTTTCTAAGAACTCCTGGGACACCCCTGAGAGTCTTGAACCTCAGCTTTGGGAAAGCCTTAACCCACATCACACCACTCTACTGTACATGTTGCACATAGCCTTTCTGCAGCAGACTGAAGAATCATGGAGGATTATGGGACAGGTATAGTGTCTGGAGCCGCAGGGGTTTCTGGGTAACTTGATAAAGAACAGAGGACACACTAGAGAGAAACATGCACCGCACAAAGGATCACGCTGCATGGCTTAAAATGACTTGAATTCACAATACTAATTTTGATTTGATTGGTTTTGATTTTTTTTTAAGTTAAGTTTACTTTCCATGACTATTTAACCTGTTACATGGAAGTAATTTCTATTTCAGATCCCATTGTTTATTGTTAGACAATAGATAAACTAATATTACATTATATTTCATTATGGCAGTTTTATTACTCAAAAATACATGCACCCTACAATGTGGACTTGCCTCTCCATAGACCTGACAGGTATACCTGCCTGTCTCCAAGGAGATGTTGCTGCTTACTCTGAAATGTTCAACACTATTGCTTTAACTTAGCTATCTCCGTGGAGATGAGCAGATGGTATGGCAAGTGTTCTACAGTGGGTCTTAAAAGGACCCATATTACGCTGTTTTCTGATCTGTATTATAATGTTTTTTCCTCATCACAAACAGACCTGGGGTTGTGTTTTGTTTTATTCACACAAGCCCTGCATATTTAGGCTAAATTCTTTCAAACAGAAAACCCTCTGTTCCACCTTGTGATGTCATGTGGTAATACAGGAAGTACTACACTGTGTTTTTAAACTCCATACACCTTCACTAGAATCATTTGGAGGATTTCAGACCTGGAATCTCTCTACTGAACTGAAGGTCAAAGGAAGATGTTAACTTCAAAATTACCACTACATGACAGCATAAGACGGAACAGAACATTCTGAGCTTTGGAGACTAACTAAAAATACAGGATTACTCAAACATGTGTGAATGAAACAAAACACAACTACAGGTATGTTTTTGAGGAGGAAACACCACTTTAACATTATAGCTCACGAGAATCCATTTTGTGTAATACAGGACCTTTACGTTTAAATATTGGTTATTTATTCAAAAGTAGTCAAAGAAACTACACAAATCAAGAAAATTATTATAATCCTTACACTTTTCAACTGATTTAAATGAACAGTTAATAATTCATAGTTTGAAGTATATTGTGTCCTCAAAGCTCTCCTTCACATGGTGCATTGCAAGAACTTGAAATGAAGATATGGTCTACTGTAGGGTTTTGTAACTGTATATTTCTTTCTATGATGTGTGAGATTTTTCTTATGAAGTTGAACGAGCAGCTAAAGCACTTCTGTGTGAGACACGTGTTTATTTTACCTGCAGCTTGATAATGACATGGAACAATTTTGAATGTTTTTGAAGTTAATTATGCAAGAAACTGTATTTTGGAATGTAATGTGTTGAAATGTATTCTGTTGGCTGTTGGTTTGTCTTGATTTAAAAAAAAGTTTATAAGTTATAATTAAAATTAAAATGACAAAATCACATTCACGAGAATCAAGTAAAATTATTTAGACCTTTTACACTGTTTTTAGCACACTTGGGTAATGAGACTAAAAACAACAAAAAGCCTGAAGCCTGTGAAAGCCTCACTGTTGAGATACATTTTGTTTGGCATATCAAAGCTACCATCTGTAACTGCATTTGATTTTTCTATGAATTGATGGCAGATATGAAACCTGTTCTCCCCTCACCTGGCTCCTCCCCTCACCTGGCCCCTCCCCTTATCTGACCTTTGTTTACACTCACCTGTTCTCTCTGCTCTTCTTCTGTTAGGCCAAAGCTGGAACGCTATTAGACGCCATTACCGTAGATAGCATCTAGTGGGGATATTTGAGAAAACAACAGGGCCTGGTTGGCCACTATAATGAGATAATACAGATGTTAGGTTTAAGAGCAGACATGATCACAATACATTTTTGATTTTAAAAATGTGAAGGAGCACTTTCTGGACACATAGTGTCCACATAATGTCATCAAAAGACTGAACAAAGTGTTTTGGGCTACAGCTTCAACTTTCCACAGCTTCTCTCCTCTTCTGGGGTATCCTGAGATGGTCTCGCCTCGCATTGACACATGTCTGCACTGATGAAGTTGCTTTATCTAACTGTTGTGGAGAAGAAGGAGTAAAGTCCTATCTACATTATACTAGTCACTCTATGTAAACGTTCCTACCTTCATGAGCTTTGGAGCAGTCCAAATGACTTTCCTCTGCAGGATGGCTGGTCGCAGCCTTAGAGGGTGAAAAGCTCAGTTACACAGGAGGAACTCAGAGTAATGCCACTGCTCCTCCAAGTCGAGAGGAGCCAGCTGAATATGCAAAATTGTTCAAATAATTGAATGAAACAAAACACAGCTCCAGTTTGGATTAGGAACCATAATAACATGGTTCAAGAGTCAAACAGGTGCCTAATCCTTTATCTGAGAGTCCCAGTGGTGCATTTAAGCACTCTATTTAAAGCAGCAAATTTGATAATGTTCAAATGCTTGTAACAACGATCAGGCCCATTAGCATACAGCACCGTGTATAAATAACATATAAAGTAATAGACCCTGGACTAGTTGTGACTCTAACCACAATGGCATCAGTCATTTATATAGTCATCTGAGATTAAAGTTTAGGCTCTAGAAATACCTCGATTAATTACTTGGATTCAGATATTGGCGATATTGGTGACAGAATAGTTGGCACATATCACAGTGAGAGAGAGTGTTTGAGTCTCCCTGTGTGGGTTATAAATCTAATATGCACAGTTGGTTCATTCTCTAATCAGGATTTTGACTGAAGATTCAGCAACGTGTGCTAGGGCAGCGCTCCTCTGGTTTCCCTTTGCAATGACATTGAGGGATGAGTCAAATGCAGAAAACTTACTCACTTTTCTGCTTTACCTTGATGCTAAAACTTGTTGCTATACACCTCTAACAATGTGCTGACATGACACCCTCTTCTTTTCAACTTGTCCTGTCACATGTGGTGTTAATATTGGCACAGTTTTAATCAGAGGAACCCTATACTTCCAAACTTGTCATCTGATCCTACTGTACAGAGCGTCCCGGGACCCTGGCACCATGAGTGGAAAGGCTGTGCAGCGGGGTGGGGTATGAAAGGGCTGCCCTCACTGTATTATATTACACATGGCAGGTCTCTGATTCTGACAGGAACAGGACCTGAGCGATTTCATAACAAGGGATTCAGTCAATGAGGCAGTTTATTAGTGGAAATCATGACAGGGAGGGTATGACTTTATTTAGCAGGCAATGCTCTGTCTGAAACTCTGTTACTCAAATTAGACTTTAATCTGAGCTTTATCTTGATACAGTCTGACCATAAAGTTAGTTCAGTTCATCCCTCTCACCTTTTAGTTGAAAATCAAACACTTAAACAGGACCATGAACGCTCGTATTGAGCACAGGCTTCTGAAAACGTGTTGTTTAAATACACGTACACAGAGATCGCAGTGCACGTGCGTTGTGTCACCATCATAACTGCTGAACATTCCATCAGAGGCATACATGCAGATCACCCCCAGCATGGTGTCACTGCAAAACAAGTATGAATACACTGTTTTAAAATTAAACTGCTACTGAGCCCGTTGCTATAACGTAATTACTTTAATACTTCATAAAATCAGGGGAGTTTTACAATGTATCACTGTTTTTTATCATTGTTGTTGTATGCATGAGCAAGACATTTCACCAATTGGCTTTTCTTTTACAGACTGATAATAGTGTCACAGAAATTCAAGGCAATGGCCCCTGATGAAAAAGAGATGGACTTCAGTGGTAATATCATTCAAATATAACTCAATCAATCAAACATTATTCATAAGCTAATAAGTGTTTTTTGATACATTTAACCCAAAAGTACTTTACGTATAATTAACTGAGAAGTGGATTTTGCAGCTTCACCTTGGGATAACTATTTTCACATTATATCTTTTTTCAATATCTTTTAAGTACCGGAGGTCCTTCTACTCTAAGAATGAACAATGCAAAAATAAATGTCCTTTTCCTTAGTGAATGCTAAGTCTTGGTTTATGGTTTATGGTTTTAAAAAGTCAGGAGTTTTATTTGTGACGTAACAATCTGAGAAAAATGCAAATAGAGCATTTTTGAGAGCTCGGTAATCAATGACTTACTGAAACGTGAATGAAACAAAATACAATTCCACATATTATTTGTACTTCATCTGCTCCTCCTCCTCCACCATACATAGAAAAGTACCCTCTTTCGTGCTTGGTGACCCTTTCGTCGCCGCTGACCCTTGACCCCACATGCTAACAGGCTAAATTCAGCTACAGTGAAGTCCAACACCGCTGCAACAGCACTGCAACTGAGACATTATGTTCAGGGCTGTAAAAGTGGCTTCGTGTCACTGTGATTTGCTGTGGAAACATGCTCCAGTGGAAACTCAAGCTGGTGCGGACCAGAGCAGGACACAAGCAGGACATGAAGGGTCAATCCATATGGTCCTGTCTGTGAGACAGTAGGTGGACATGTGACACTCTAAGGCTGTGCGTGTGAGAGCCAATGCACAGGGAGGTACACAGTATGTGTTAATGTACTTTCAAATCAGTGTTCTATTTAGACTATAGTACTTCATGGCATGGACTACTGTTACACAGCTAAACAAAGGCATTACTGTGAGGCTGAACTATTAACCACATTATGCCACAGTGGACATAGAGTGCTTTACATTGAGGCCCATTAACACTGACATTCAACCAGACCCTGAAGGCTAGGCTAAGTGGTACTCTCTCTTCACAGCAAGTAGGTTGCAGGTTTGATTCCTGAGATACCCAGGCCTATCTGTACAGAGTTTCTCCCTCTGTCTGGGTGGACTAAGATTTACCCATTCAACTCAAAACAGGCCCAGTAGGTCAAATATTTCAGCTGAGGTTGTCCTGACCAAGCATGCGGCATCCTCTGCTGCTGATAAATTACCTCAGTGACCCACTGAAGGATGGGTCAAATGCCAGGACAGTAAAGGCTAACCTTAAGTGATCTGCCCAATGTTTCATGTCTTTTGAGTTTATTCTGTGTTTTGTGCCTCTTGCCCGCTCTCAGACCTGAGTCTGCTCTGAGTGGGCTGCTCTTTGGCACATGTTTAGCAGCTCCTCTGCAGCTGATGTCTCCCACTAATGTCTCCCACTCAGCACCTCTCTGCACCCAGCGTCGGAGAGACCAATGGAACTGTCCCCACTCATTCTGCACATGGACATGTGCTCTGGAGCAAACTGATACTTTTTTATTTTGAAGTTTTATTGCTTCAGTGTGCAGTGCTGGTGCTGGTGAACAGAATATCATACTGATATCCATATGTGCTGCACTTTGGATGCAGTGTTTGTTTATGAAATGTGCTATAAAGAAAATGGACTGGATGAAAATTTAATTATGGTTAAAACAAACCAACCACTGATTCACAGGTGTGGAGAAAAGCTGCAGCTAAACTCACACTTCTATATTAATCTTCTAGAAAAATCTCACTTCAACAAGTTTTACCACTTCAAGTGACCCATTTGTCTGATCCATGAGTTGTTGCAGATTAACTCATTTTGAATAGTTAGTGGAGAAGCACCAAGACCTGAGGAATCACAGAGATGTTTTGTTTAGGGTAAAAGAAGACTCTGTGTGGTCTTATGGAAGTAATCCATTTGTGTTCATGGCACAGGTCTCAGTGCTTGTTTATGGTTTGGACTTGGGCCAGGACTTGTTTACAGCTCAAACGCTCGCCTCTTGACTGGCGCAGAGACCACTTCATGCCCATTTTATTATCTACGCACTGCCTCCTAATCTCTTATCCAATTGATTTTAAAATGCCTTCATGGCCTTGTCCCACACTATCTGTCCATCATGCTCCTGCCCTATGCCCCTGCATTCACTCAGGTCAGCAGATCACGCCTTCTAGTGGTCTCAAAATCAAAGAGAAAACGTAGAGGGGACCACTCCTTCTCTGAAGAGGGTCCAAAACTGTGGAACACGAGTCTCTTTCTGTTTTTAAATCAGCTCTTAAAACTCACCTGTTCTCTTGAATGTTTCATTGTGATTAATGTTGACTTTTATAGTGTCCTGTGTGTTTTTATGTTTCTGTATTTTGGCAACCTGTGTCTATTTTTATTGACTTTTATAATTATTGTTGTGTACTTCACTTTGGTTGCTTTAGAACTAAAGCTGGATTGGATGTTGAGGATTAAGGTTAGACATGGTAATTTAGAGCCTGATTTGATAATCCAAAACATGCACCATAAGTAAACTCCACCAGCTAAGTCCTGACCAAGACCAGCTCAAGATCTACAGGTGATGAAGATGGGACATATTTCCTTACATGGACAATAAAGTGTACCTTAACCAGATTTTTAAAAATGTTTCCAAATGTGACAATACACTTCTGATCCCTGACACTGCCCTGACAGCTTTTACTTCAGTAGCATTGCAGCGTGGGTCAAATGCAGCGGACATATCTCAGTAGAAGGACGATTAAGTTCAC